TCAGTAACGAAATGTAAACAGTTTTGGTTAGTGACAGGTCAAAATTAAGTACAAATCTTACAAACATGCCGGAATAAGTAAATTATTCGAACTTATATTTGTCAGTGTGTTATGAGGGGTGGCGGGTCAATCCAAAATCGATATTTGCAGCAGCTGAATTGCTTTGTCAAATAACACTCAATTCCGTCGAGTATTCCTGTGGGTACGCGCGCGGCCGAATTTGATGACCGCTTTTTTATCGATTTCAAAATGCCTCGACTTTTTGAAATTAAGCGGAAGATTTTTTCTTCGACCTATAAAATATCAAAACGAGCGCTCCAGTAATGCGTGTGTTTATCCGTTTTGCGCCGGGAGCATTATGCTTATCGACACCGTCGTCTCCACGATGCTTCAATGGGGTTAAGCTAGAAACGTCATCTCTAGAAGTTTGCTGGGGAATAATAATATGTATCTGTATAAAAGCCATTTGCTTTGAATCGTTTGTGTAATTATCAAAATATCAACGCGGCATCCGTCTTCAGACATTTCGCGTTTCATAATAATTGTCATTAAATTTCTAATTACGACAAGAAATTAAATTGCACTACAATTTGGTAATGAGTACTTAACAAGATCCGAAGCTTAGGACTGCGACGACGTTAGAACAAAGTCGAAACATCGATAGGAAAATACAGAACGTATGCAATGCATTTCAACAATAGATACGTTTTTTTTCCTTTGCGCGTTTTATTTTATAAATTACATTTTTCACTGCATTCAGCTCGGCGCTATTAAATTTTTCACGTAGTGGTAAAAATTCGATGAAATACGTATTCGAATTCTGCTCGCAAAATCGTAAAACAAAATATTTCCAGTATTCCATCGAAGGAGCGTTTATATGCCGGGCTGCATCGTAAAATTTTAATCCCTTATGTCACGAGCCTCGAAATGAGAAAAACGGTGCCGCATTTAAAAGCTTAACGATTTTTCTAATCTCATATTATTGCTACGAAAAGTCATATGAAACCTAAATAACAAAAATTGATTAGTGTATAGATCCCTTACTAAGCCCTTGGGCAATATTTCAAAAAGAAGCTCCGTTAAACACGGTTGCCGATCTAAAGCTTCTTTTTGACGTGTGTACTTTCTTATATTTGAACGATATATTAGCTTGCATGGCGGCTTAGTTAGAGAGTTTATTTTCTGAATTACAGCAATAATCTTCCAATTTAGCAAATAAATTAGGAATTGTAGGTAGTGAACATTTTTTTACCTTATCAATCGTAAGACAATTACAACATTTTCTATTTGCTGGCAGTATTTAAGTATTTTAAATCTGGTATGTTGTTTTTAGAAAAGTAATTAAAAAAATTAACAAAGTAATTAACACATTTATACGACAGATAATGTAATCATAGGTGAGTCGTGTCGGCTGATATCAGTGGCAGTGCCGAATAGCCCCATGGAACATTTGTGTAAATATGTAAATTTAATTAAAAAGTTATTAATAATTAATAATATACCTGCTGTGAGCTGGAAAATGCATTTTAAAAATTGAATGGAGGTTATTACATAACATAACATTTTAATCGATCTTAATGACCTGTGAAACAGAATTAGATTTGAAATAAAAATGTACTTATTTAGGTAATTATTGATAATTTGTATCTATTTAGTGTTGCACTGGTACTATTATTGTTACTATTTCTCATGGTGTAACATAATTAAAAATTTAATTCTTATATTTAAAAATAGCTTAAAAGCCGTTAAATCTTTTATTGCCGCTTGCAGATTACAGTGAAAACTCCCTATAGCGGAACTCTGTATTACGAACAAAATTAGGTCTCCATACAAAGCTATGTATTAATCTACTCTGTATAAAGAATTTCTCACTATCTTTGCCGAAAGAAAAAAGGGCACGTCATCCAGGCTGCAGCGGCAGGCAGTTCTAGTAAAAAACTAAGAAAGCCAAAATTTGAAGATTTGGATCGGGCAATGTTGCAGTGGTTCCAACAGCAGGGTCTTTATCCACCACTCTTTGCGCCTATCGTAAAACGAAAAGCAGAAAAGTTTGCTGCACAGCTGGGCATTATCGATTTGAAGGCTTCGGAAGGATGGTTGGGGAAGTTCAAACAGGTACATGGTATAAATTATGGACAGATAAGCGGCGAAGCCCGTCATGTCAACAGAAACGTCACTAACGATTGGCTGGAGAAGACGTGGCCAAAACTATCAGACTGACACCATTTTTAATGCAGACAAAACTGGTATTTTTTACAAAATGACGCCAGATAAAACTTTTAAATTTCGAAGCGAAAAGTGTGTGGATGGAAAACTTTCCAAAGAACGTATATCAGTGTTAGTAGCTGCCAATATGAGTGGGATAGAAAAAAGGAAGCTAGTCGTGACTGGAAAATCAACTAACCCACGATGTTTTAAGAACATCAAGCACTTGCCGGTCACTTACAAGGCAAACAAGTCTGGCTGCATGACATCGCAACTTTTTGAAGAGGAGATACGGAAATGGGATGCAGAATTCAATGGGCGGAAAATATTACTTCTCTTAGAAAGCTGCCCTGGACATCCCCATATTCCAAATCTTCGGAATATTGAATTGAAAGCGTAATAAATAGTCGATATAGGAAAAACATTTTAATGGAAATGATCGAGTCCGAAGACAAATTTTCCATTAATATGCTAGATGCAGTAAATTTTATTAGTAAAATTTGGAAAGAAGTGACAGCAGAAACAATTCAACACCCCTATCGTCATGCCGGATCTAATACCGAGACGGAATACGAATAAGACGATCAGCCACTAAACGAGTTTCAAACAGTTTCAAACAACAATTACTTTTACAAGTTTACGCCGACAAGGAGTTGCAACATTTTATGGTGATAGATCAGGATTTGCCTACAACAGCAGACTTGACATAGGAAGCCATATTACAACAAGCAAGAAAGGGTGAGGAAGAGCACCAAGAGGAAGAAGAAGATGAAGAAGTTGTTCTGGGACCACCACCAACAAGCCCTATATTCAGTCAAGCTGATAGAGAAATTTGAAAATACAAGCAACCCAAATTACGTGATGCGTATTGGCATACTAAATAAATTTGATTATTGGAAACATTAAGTGTAGTTCTTAAATATTTATATAAAATGTTCTTAAGTAGATGTTAAAATATGTATATAAAATAATTAAATATTACAGAACACAAAAAAAAGCAGTCCCTTCAAGTTCGCTATATAGAGTTTCGACTCCATAATTCGTGTCAAAAGGCAAGACGATATATTTTGACGCACACTATACTAGAAAAATGCAGATATCAGAATAAAAATCACCTCTGTATGCACTGAATTCGAGCAATGCACATTGCAGTTCTTATATTTGCAGAGTGGGGGTTTCGATTTTCCATTTTTTGCGTATTCTATACCGCTACACCCTGCAAACGTAAAAGTTCCGAATTAAATAAAGGCCGAACAATAAACGCAAAACGAATGCTCGAAATGTTGTGGGTGGAGTATTATGCGGCATGCATTTTCCGTGACAGCAGTCCCAAAATACTCTAACTGAATAGCGGTAAGCCGCACATTGATTTATGTTTCGCAGTGCACTTCATAGTTAGACCGACGTTAGCCGAGGTAATTACTTTTATGCGAGATCTATGTACAGGTGTGGAAGATACATTTCCGCGTTTTCCTTAAATGGCCGTCGAGTCATTTACGTGTGAAATCTTTCAGGGACAAATTTCATTACATTTATGAACTCTAATCCAATTTTAACTGTGTACCATAATTGTTTTTATTTATTTGCTATTTGAAATTATGAATTCATTGTTTTATGTTAGCTTTTATTATTATTATTGTGGCGTTATTAACCGAAGAGCAGGAAACATTAAATCGAAACAAAAATAGCGCTTTTATACTTAACTTTTTTTCGCTTTTTTTATTATAATTTGAACAATTATAATAAAAATCTTTCTCATTATAAATAATACATGTATTTAACCTTTTGCAATGAAGTAAATATAAGTCGAAATAAATAAGAACTAAAAGTTCACATTTTCACGAAATTATATATTATGACATGACAATTGTTTCGACAACACCGTATCTTTATCAAATATCAAAAACATTTGATAAAGACACGGTGTTGTCGAAACGATTGTCATGTCATAATATATAATTTCGTGAAAATCTGAACTTTTAGTTCTTATTTATTTTGATAAATGGATTTTCATCAAGTAAAAGCCACCTCAGTTCAATTAAATATAAGTCGCTTAAAAAGTCTATTGTCTACACGCCGTCTTATGTCAAGGTAAAAGCTTTCAACTGTTCTTTTTCTTTTATAAGTGCTATTTCGACAAATAAAACGGCTGATATAAACAAAAATGTTTTCTTAAAGTAAAAATGGCTTCCTAACGTAACATGTTTTCTAATATTGTAAGAACATCTGAAGCAAAGCATTCCGAACTTTCTGGATTCTGTTATCACTATCCGTCGTCGTTAAAGCGGGCCATAAATTGAATCAGCATATTCTGATAACCTGGTTATAATTAATGACTCACACAGAGATAATTTAAGATTGGAAACCATTATTCCACCATAGAGTTTCTGGAGCAATCCATTTGACACGTTTTGTAAATCATAGAATAATTTTAGATGATTTTTTACGATTTTGGGAATCCTATCCCCAATAATCGTGAAATGTCAAATATTACGCCAAACAGTTCCAATTTTAATTATTAAAGATTTGTTCATTCGGTATAGCGCAGTATTGTTAAACTGCCGACAAAGAATCAAAGGGGCTTAATATCGCAGTTCCGGTACGTGTTGTCGTCGATACTGCGTCACATTTGGCGATTTGCTTTTAATTGTGTCATGGAGGACCTGAATGTATACATGTGTTGAACTGTTCTCGAACTACTAACGAAGGTCTAATTCTACTTGGAAGTAGACTTGGGCTGACGCATATCTTTTCAGACAAATGCCAAGTCTCTGCAGTTATGCAAATAGATCTCTGCTGGTCGACATTTTCTCGGACAAATGCGATCAAATATTGATAGAGATTTTAGCGAATTGAATATTAAATTACGTGTACGCGTCCTATTTTCAATTTTTGTTGACAGAGAGAAAATGTGAGTATCTGTTTATCTCTCCGTCTCTGGCTATGTGTAATTCTATGTCTAAGTGTGTGAGTCTCGAAATGTGAGGATCTGTCTCTCTGTAAGTCTCCGTCTTTGTGTGCGTCTCGTTGTGTATGTGAATCGGCATCTGAATGTGAGTGTAAGTTATGGAAACATTGAACTACATCAGCATTTCGCAGAACAAAATTGCTTTATTCATACTTAGATTCTGACTTCGGATAATACTTAAAAGGTAAGAAGTAAGAGCTGGGCGACTTTTCGAAATCTTGCTGTAGGATACAGCCATGAGCGTGCGCAGATGGAAACGTCATTTCAGAATCCTGTCAACAACGCCGAAAGACGGAATGTAATGGTAAGTTTTCAACATATTTTCCTTTATACGTGTGTTAATGTCGACTTTCGGTAAAAATAATTGGATTCGGTTGTTCAAAAGTTTAGTTTAAAAAAGATGCAGGTTAGTGTTAGTTTTCAAATTTAACACTCTGTATCTGACCCCAAAGAAATTCAGTTAACCAATAAAAAGTTTTTAAACTGAGTTATATGGAGTCGAATTGTGAAAACGACCTTAAGTGCTAAAATTGCAGTCGTCATTTTTACTAATATTTTGGTTTGGTTGTTACAGAACTAGAATCTGGGACAAAAGACGCCGAGTGTTCCTGTATTAGATTTATAAATAATGTGTTTATTAATAATGAAATGTGCATAAAAATTTATTAAATAAATGTGTAAATTTTGAATGTGTTTCTTAAAATTTCATATTTTTATTAGATTTTTCTTGACAAGTGGATGCGCAACAATTTAAAAATCCTAACTTTTCACACCTCCGCGCCACCACTGATCTAATGACTACTTTCTAGGACGGTCTATAAAATTTAAAATTTATGGTGGAGGCGGTATTTCAACTTTACCCAAAACGCTCAATTACCGCATCCGCCAAACATTTAAAAATGTTCTAGAACGTCATAGAACTTTTCCAATTTTTAAACAGAGTTTTCTGCAGAATTTTTTGCAGAATTTCCTAATATCGGGGAAATAAACCTACAAAAATTCGATATTTTCCCTAAAGTTTCAAATTCATCAAAAAGTATAAGTTTCCTAAAATTAGGGAAATTTTGCACAATCTAGCAACACCGCGAAAGTTACCAAAAGTCTGTGGTGTTCTAGTCCATTTTAAAATTTATGGTGGATGTGGGTATTTCAATAGTAAGAATGACTCTTAAATTTTGGAGCATCCATATGGAATAAAATGCACGTGGGAAATTAAACGAATTTATTTAGAAAAATATTTATAAACAATACTAAATGATACATTTCTGTTCATTAGCTCTGCGTTTGCTGTTTTTCTGCTTGTCTTGGACGCGAAGCTGAAGTGGATTGATCGCTACTTGGCGGTTGGTTGTTGGTCCCCCAAATAAGTAACTAGACTGTGTGTGTGTGGGTGTGTGCGTGTGTGGGTGTGTGTGGGTGTCTGGGTGTGTGCGTGTGTGCGTGTGTGGGTGTGTGTGGGTGTCTGGGTGTGTGCGTGTGTGCGTGTGTGTGTGTGTGTATGTGAGCGCGCGCGCGCGAGCGCGAACGAGCAAGAGAGAGAAGGGGGGAAAATGGGTGAATAGTGTGTGAGAGAGAGAGAAAGAGAGAGAGAGAGAGAGTGCGTGTAGAGAGTGGGAAAGGGAAGAAAAAGAGAGACATAGAGAGGGAGAGATAGGGTGTGTCAGTGTAGGAGCGTGAGAGAGATATATTATAGTGCAAACAGGCGTTTCCCTACCGGGCCCACCTTATTGACAGAATGCCCTCGAAGATACGTGCGTGGGTACTTCTTCTAAATAGGAAGTTGTTGTAAATATCATCGTCGGGTGACAGCAGCATCGTTTGCACCATTTGGATCCCAATACGTCGTCTGTGTGTTTATAATTCTGAAATAATTAATTTTGTATTAATGACATTGCCAGGCGCTTTGAAACACATTGTGATGCGTGTATGTGTTAATTTAGTATGTGTGGGTTTTAGCTTAACTGCCTGTTTGTCTCTTTCTCGCCCCCCGCTCGCCCCACCATCGTATTCCGATCATGCTCCCTCTCTCTCTCCCTGGATTTTCTCTGTCTATCTCTCTCCCGTGTTTATCACTCTGTTTATCCCTCTCTTTCCCTTTGAGTTAGTTCTGATGTCGAAACGATTTGGATTACCAATATTGGCTGCAGGATTCTTTGATCTGAAAACAGGAACAAGTAATGCCTCCCGTTAAATTCGAATTGCATGCCCAAATTGTTATTCGGATCTGAAATGTCACACAGATCTAAAGAAGCGAGAATTGTTTGTCAATCGAAAAACGAATTAATTAAACCGAACGTGTGCCATGAGCTTCAATTCCCAATTGCACAGGGTCATATTCTCACAATGACAACTGCCGGAACTTCGGAAACCGGAAATACGATTTTCAATGTTAAAAAGGTGTGTATCACCGTTTTGTATCGACCTTAATAAAGGGAGAACCTAAAACAATGTTAAAGAGCGAATTCTGTTGGAAAATTGTAGCGACAATAATACATTTTCCGTCTCTTCATAAGATGGAGGGTCTTATTCTCATTTAAAACGTTCCTCCAGGCATCTTCCGATAAAGAGTTATTTTCTTTGTAACCACTCTTTTTAGATGCCGTCGGTCGTCCTTGGAGCTTTTCTTTTACGCTAGTAATATTTCTACTAAGAATAAAAGGTTGCTGTCATCCCGTACCCTATTTTAATGGGCAAATGGATATTATTTATATTATTATTGGATTTGTATTGGCACTACTTAGATTTAAGGGTAAAGGAAAAAAATCAAGTAACACGCTACCAAAAAAAAAAAAAATAGAAAATTCCGTCTCTGATATTTAATTATATATAATCACTCCGTATAAAAGCAGCCAAAACTTAAAGGACAACTTTAATACGAAACATCCGATAAGATCAAAGTTCAGATTATCGTTCGAAAATTCCAGCCATCTGGACAATTTCCTGTGCTCTATCTCGTTGAAAAGAGCGCCTTTCCATAATTAATTGGGAATTATTTGGAACTGTTGACTTTTCCACTAGACGAGTTAAATGATTTACTTTGAAGTTCAACTATTAGGAGAGTATTCTAGCAAAGAATCGTATAGATGACACCTGCTTATACATTTTGTTTTGCATTGGTTCGCGACTCATAGTGACTACATTCCTAATAAACGCGACAATATTTACAAATTGAGCAATGCACACAATGTATCTGATTCCGACCGACCGACAAAAATTTAGGCATTACCCATTACACATTTGTTAATAACACAGTTAACAGTGAACCAACGAAATTAATTTGATTTCCTAATGTAAAGAAACCCGGGGTAAATAAAACGAGGCAAATATTTATCGTAATCTTAGCACCAGCAGGGTAATGCAGGATAATGCAAACTGTTTTATCTTCGGATCACTTTTCTTTGGACGAGGCTGCTTTACAAATTCAATTAAAGCAACGAAATTTAACTTCGAATGTTGGAGCAATTCAAGGTCAATGTGAATACTGCATTTAAAAAATATATTTCAAGAAAACTTGCTAAATAATACTTGTTAAATCAACCAACTCTATTTATATAATTTTAGCTGCTGGAGATCAATACGCACGACTGATGTGAATTTTGAACAGCCAAAATGTTCTGGTAGGTCGGAACAAAAATAGGCAAAAAATGTGCATATACTCACGTCCCACTGTGGGCGTAGTTTCTTTCGTCTGCTTGTTTACTATCAGATCTGAATGGAATACGCGTAGCGTAATACTCAAAATAAAGCACATTGTTTATTCATTCCCAAGCGTACGTGCCAATAAGCTCCCCGTATCTTTGTTTACGGTATGCTTTGGCGAACCTCGGATGGTTACACAGTAACTAATTTAACAAGCGCACAATATTGTCAACAAGCTTTCATCATGACTATTTCTCTTTTGAACTCACTGATGTATTATATAAAAATATTTTTTTTTAATTTAAAAACTAACAATCAAGAATTAATGTTGGACTTAAAATTTAAATTTAGAACTTTGCTTCCAAATAAATTAGTTTGTATTTAATATAATGAAAATAGTGATTGATTTGTAATTTTTAGAATATTATGTGACTGCGTGCTGTATTGTTAAAAATTTTCGAAAAATTCAAAGCAAAAAACTGGCCAATGAAGCTAAGTGCTAAGAGCTCGACATCGCTGGAAGGAAATACCGTGCAATTTATCGTAGATGTTCTCGAGGGCATGACACCTAAGGAGAAGAATAAGCTATGATTGTGTATTGTTCTGCGTTAAGTTTGTAGTTACTGCACAACTTCTGAGATACTTCGTCTTGAGACCAGACGAGAAATCAGGATGGGCCGAATATAACGGGTGATTCAATTGGAGTTTCCGCATTACAATCTGAAATATTTTTGAAACGCCACTGTATTTGTTTATTATCATATGAGATTTCTAACCTCAAAACGTAAACAAAATTTGTCCTGGAGCAATATACGATTGAACAACGTGTAAAAATTGTGCAAGCCTATTATGAAAATGGTCGATCAACAAAAAATGCATTTCGACGTTCTGAGAGGACAATTTGGAATGTGGTTCAAAAATTGGAGCAAACTGGATCTGTAACTAACCTCAAAGTCCCTCAACGTGCTCGTGCAGGTCGATCAGATCAATATATTGCCATTGTTCGCCTTACGTATTCAACCACACAGCGAATTTTAACAAAAGACTTGCATCTACACCCATATAAAGTCCAAATCACCCAGGAATTAAAACCTCGACATCATCATCTTCAACAGGCACATTTTCACCTTGGTGGCTTTGTAAACAAACACAATGCTCGTATTTGTGGATTAGAAAATCCCAGAGAGATTGTTCATAAAGCAATGCATCCTGAAAAAGTGACTGTTTGGTTAGTTAGAGGAATAATTGGCCCTTTTTTTTGAAGATAATGCGGAGGATGCTGTTACGGTTGATGGTGTTTGCTACCGAAACATGATATCTGATTTTTTCTGGAAGCAGTTGGAAGGTATCGAAATTGAAGATTTGTGGTTCCAACAGGATGGAGCCACTTGTCATACATCCAGAGAAACGATACAATTGCTGCGGGGCAAGTTTCCTTGTCGGATTATCTCACGTAACGGCGACATCAATTGCCCGCCGCGATCATGTGATCTTACTGCCCTAGATTTTTTTTGGGGTATCTAAAAAGCAGAGTGTATAGAAATAAACCAAACACTATTCCAGGGCTGAAACAGGAGATTAGACGCAAAATAGCCTGCATAGAATCTGAATTGTGTCAAAAAGTGATAGGAAATGTCAATAAACGTATTACGTCATGCCACATGAGTGGCGGGGGTCATTTGAATAACATCATCTTTCATACCTAATTGTAATACACTATACATAAAAATGTTTGTATATTTTTATATTCTTCCGAGTTTTTTTTTATTATTTTAATGCGGAAACCCTTATTCAATCACCCTTTAATATTGCATTGTATCGCATTTAAGATGAAACCACCTCTATATTTCGGCTATCTAAATAAATACAGATTTGAAGTTTTGCACAGTCATACAAGTTGATGGTTCCCATTTTTTTAAATACTCAACTGCCTACTGCGAACCCACAAACAGGTTGGTCAATTTTCGATATTTTGCTTCGCGTTTATTTTATTAACTTGATCATAAATCTGGTAAATACTGTTTTCTACTCTCTTCTTTAAAATACCCAATTATGGTCGTAGTGTCGTAGGAAAATTACAGTATACCATGCGTTCATAAACTCCTTCAATCTAGCCAACATTTTTTAATACCAACGCTATGTCATAGATGGTAGTGGGTACCACCTAGCGACTAGAAGGGGACGGTCGCATTATTTAATTAGACCAAGTTTAGTATTTTGTTTATCTTTGGGAAATTCCATCACCGATGTATAAAGTGATAGAATTTTCTCGTCTCAATTTTAAATTAATGCGTGAATTCGACTCATATGAATCCCCATCTGGGTATTAATTCGGCTTCCGGACGGAGAAAACTTGAATGTGAAATGAAGGTGAAGATCTCGTCGTGTGCCAAAGAGTTGATACATCATTAGTCAATTGCGCATGTTGTTCTTCTTGGTTAATATTTGTATGCATCTCGTGTAGAGGTAATACATAATATATATATATTGCGTATTGTGAGTTACCACATTGCTCATCAGCACTATTGTCGAATCTAATCATTTCGTTGCCATTGACGGTCGCCTGGAAACTACTCTCCGGTACTACCAAGCAAGCCACACATACATGTGTATAAATACCCATTATTTCCTATCGTTATTAGACAATGTGACATTCCTATAAATAGTGAATAAAGATTCTATAGTTATTCTATTATTCTATAAGTATTGATATACGTGGTAGTTAGATTACGTTAATTATTATTAAATCATCCTTTATATATATATATATATATATATATATATATATATATATATATATATATATATATATATATATATATATATATATATATATATATATATATATATATATATATATATATTTCACTTAAAACTCCGCACGCCAATAAGTCCAAAACGAAAAGAAATATTTAATTTATGTAAAAAGTAGTCAAAGTGTGGAGTCAAGTAGATATTTCCTAAAGTTTAAAAAATTCGACGCCTGCAAAGAGCTGGGCGTCGCGACGCGTCGAAAAATTATTCGATTGCAGAGACTTTGGAAATACGCGCATACAAAAGTACATATTATTTAAAAACTTTTTTGTTATTTACTCAAACTTATTTACTTTACCCGTTTCTAAGTTATACCGATTTAAAGTAAACATTTCTTGTTGTTTAAGTGCAATTACAAACGTAAGTTGTTATGGCTGTATCAAAAAATTGTCATATTTTGTCACAAAAAATATCCAAATTTGTTCGGTTTAAAAAAAAACTAAGAATTATTATGTGAAAATGGTGCAATTTAGCAGTGAGGAAAAAGTAGACATGTTACTGGTGTTTGGAGAATGCAGATGCAATTGTAGAGAAGCAAAAAGAGTTTACGCACGGCGTTATCCGCATAGAAGAGTCCTCGATGCAAAAACCTTTTCAAGTTTATGTAAAAACTTAAGAGAATATGACAGCTTCTTAAAACCTAAAAGAGATAGGAACAGGACGGCTACAAATGATGAAAATACTGCTGCTGTAATTCAGCAGGTTGATAATAACCCCAAGATATCCCTATCAGAGATAAAAGAAAATACCGGTGTTACCATAAGTTCTTCGTGGAGAATTCTACATAGAAACTCTTTTCACCCGTACAAAAGTAAATTAGTTCATAAACTAGAACCAGGCGATTATGCTAGAAGAATGCATTTCTTAGCGACATTGTCCGATTTGTATAGCCAAGATGCAAATTTTCTCTCGAAAATTTTATGGAGCGACGAAAGTCGATTTCAAAATAATGGAATCGTCAATAGACACAACTGTCGTTTTTGGTCCGAAAACCATCCTCGTTGGAATACAGAAAGAGGTAACCAACGAATTTTTAATATCAATGTTTGGTGCGGCATATTAAATGGATTCCTTATTGGACCTTACTTTTACGAAGGAACTTTAATTGCAGATCGCTATTTAAGATTTCTTCAAACTACACTTCCGGAACTATTAGAAGAAGTGCCTCTTGACACTAGAATGAATATGTGGCTACAGCAGGATGGAGCGCCTGCACATAATTCCCAAATAGTAACGAGGTATTTGAACCGAGAATATCCCAATAGATGGTTTGGTACTAATGGACCGGTAAGGTGGCCGGCGAGGTCCCCGGACATTACACCACCAGATTATTTTCTTTGGGGCTACCTAAAAAACGTTACCTATGAAGAACCTATCGAAGAAATGGCTGATCTCATTAACAAAATTAGTGCAGCGTGTGCCGGTATCACAAGAAGGACTCTCCTACAAGTCACTCAAGCTCATCTGTTAAAAGTTTTTGATAGTTGCGTTCGAGCAGATGGACATAATATTGAACAAAATTTTTGAAATGTCTTATTATGTAGTTAATTGCAATAATAATTTTGGTTATTAACTTGTAGGTATTTTACTGTTTTTTCATTTATTTATCATGTTATCAGAACTAAATCGATAAAAAATAATAAATAAAATCATACTAAAATAGTTGAAATCTATTGTTTGTAATTGCACTTAAAACAACTGCGATAACAATGGTTGCCATAGTAACTAACATTCATGGCATACTTGTAAAAATAAGCGTTAATCACATTTTTTATTAATCAAGAAATGTTTACTTTAAATCGGTATAACTTAGAAACGGGTAAAGTAAATAAGTTTGAGTAAATAACAAAAAAGTTTTTAAATAATATGTACTTTTGTATGCGCGTATTTCCAAAGTCTCTGCAATCGAATAATTTTTCGACGCGTCGCGACGCCCAGCTCTTTGCAGGCGTCGAATTTGTTAAACTTTAGGAAATATCTGCTTGACCCCACACTTTGACGACTTTTTACATAAATTAAATATTTCTTTTCGTTTTGGACTTATTGGCGTACGGAGTTTTAAGTGAAAAACCCTGTATATATATATATATATATATATATATATATATATATATATATATATATATATATATATATATATATATATATATGTATATATACTATATACACCTATTATTCAAATCTCCAGTTCCGGACTAATCTTCGATGAAATTTAGTTATAAATTCAAACCATCGCTGCAAGTTATCACTTCAAACGCAGCCGGACAAGATCTTGTCTAGACGACGTTATATCTGTATTTTCTCTTTGAGCTTCTGTTTCGCGGCTCACTTGTTTCAAGAGTAGGGTGAAACCGACAGCCTGTATCGCGGGTCGGCTTATATATCCAGAGGCATAAGGCATAAATATTTGAACGAGAGTAGCAGAAGTTTGGGTTAATAGAGTGTCGTCGCTCGATAACGCAATCACTACAATCGTTACAAAAAACTCGAAACAAAAAAATCTCTTTTAATATTTCGCCCTACTTAATTAGATCGGGTTGGTTGAATATGTTTTATTGATGGACACACTCAGGATTTGAAAATTTTGAAACATAAAAAGTGAAAGATTCAGACACAAACTAGATCTACGTCGAATCGGTGGTCTCACAGAACTACAACATCGAAAAAAAAAGGTACGAAACATCGCTTACTTTTAATATTGCTCAAAACGTAAATAACATACATCAGTCTCTCTGAGCTACTGTTGTTACTATAACAATTAAGTAGTCCCTATATCTGATAAAATACTTCAATCTTTTAATTGACACTATTAAGCCTATATCTATATCTCTTGTTTTTTGTTCTTAAATAGATATATTTAAAAATTTATGTAATGTGTGTAATGTATATCACTGTGAATTAAATCCCATTGAATTAGTATGGGCCCAAGTAAAAGAATTTGTAGCAAGATATCGCACGACTACTTTTAAAATCAGGGACGCTGCAACCCTGCCAGTGGGAATAAAGATCGTAAAATATTGAGCAAGTGCGTCGCATATTTTTATTAACATATTATCTGTTTTCATATTACCCTTCTTGTGTATTATTAAAATAATCAATATCGATCTCTGCCCATCTCTAAAATTATAATCATGTATAATTATTATTATATTTATTATTTTAATAAATTCCCGGTAGTAAGAGAGCTGGCACATTATTTTCATTTACCAACCCAGTTTTTCTATTGCACGCAAATTTAGGAACGATTCGAACTAAAATACGGATTTGTTTTAAACGAATTTTACGATATAACCTGTCTCTCATTGCAAGTGAACATTTTACATAATCAAATGCAAGAAAGTTGTTTTTAATTCTTCAACCACACTTGGATGGTTTTTATAATTTCTACGGAAAATTGACTTTCCTTTATATCAGCCCTGATATATGAAATTGCGAAAAGAGAAATCCGTTTCTTTCGTTCTAGGTTCTCATCAGGGACCTCACGAAAAAAAGTTGCTCAATACTCTGTTAGAGAATTATAATGTATTGGAAAGACCTGTCGCCAACGAGTCAGAAGCTCTTGAAGTGAAATTCGGCCTAACTTTGCAGCAGATCATTGACGTGGTAAGTAACCGGTTTCGACTTCCATCATAGTATTTATTCTGCTTCGATACGAATCGAGCACTTCACGGCGCCGTCGCTTCTCTAACCGCAAATTCAAAACGAACTTTGCGTATAGAACGCGAGTTACAAACGGAATGACGTAAATTTTAATCGGGAAACGGTTTCTATAAAAAGCTTGTATCGCATGAAGCGGCCTCTGACATTTATTCATAGAAAAATCGATGGTAGAAGGAAAAGCAAGAAAAGAGGTTCGTTTAACAATCCGTCCCCGATTGCTAAAAACGATACTACAAAGAAAATAATGATCCTATCTGCGACATTAACAGTAATAACGGCATCTTCACCTGAAGATGCACTTTCGCTGAAGTGAACAACTTTTACGAGTGATTCGCGAGCTCTTTCAATGGCCTCTAAAGTGTTTACGCGGATTTTAAAATGCCGACGAAATTATTCGAAAATTCTTCATTTAATTTTGAGGTCCCGATTGGGACAACGCGATGACGCATGTCCGGAACCGGTCAACCAGATTATTCCGGAAGCAGCGAAGTGCAAGTACAAGTACAAAACCGCGAAAAATCCCTCCTCGTGGATATTTAATAGACAAAATAAAAAGCAGCTGCTGAACTTCCCATCGTAATAAGCAAGTTATTTGTTCCGGCAACAAAGTTACTTTTTTATACTTTGGCCCCGGCTATTAGCTGCTTACATTTACCGAGTTAGCTGAATTAACCTCTTCATAAAAGTTTTCTTTTGATTCGACAAAAGCGGCCCCAAGCGGTTGCTTAAGGTTTCAAAGCTTTTTCGAAAACTCGATTAGCGATGGAAAAAAATAAAACAACGGGTGTCAATTTTACGATCCCGAGGCGATTTATCTACAAATCCAATACGGCGGTTACTTTCTACTGCAAGTAATGTCCAGTGTAAACAGAAAATCGGTAGTCGCTTTGTTTTATTATTGTTTTCCCCTGTCTAGGACGAAAAGAATCAGATACTCACGACAAATGCTTGGTTAAATTTGGTAAGTGACATGTGAGGTCCCAGATTGGCCTCGCCTAATGTATAGCAGAGCAAACACTAGATGGTGCCTTGTTTTCATATAAATTTATATAACATTTAATTAGTGTTTGACTCTCCGCTAAATGGATATGGACGTATAAACATATTATAGCGCTCCCACCATCAGACCTCGATGTCTTATTTATGAACACTTAACGCAGCTTCGTACTGAATTATCAACCGATCCCCATCAACACGAAATTTAATTGCGCAATTCATACAGATATGGAAAGATTCTTTGTGTGAAACTATTAAAATTTTTGATACACCATTTTTCATTTTCACTGGCAGTTTTTATAATACTTTATTTAAAAAATAACATTTTTATCAAACTTGGTGTACAAAAAAATTTTGTTTTTATCTGACCAAACGTTCGCATCTTTCATTTCGTTATATGATCCAAAATGTCTTGATTGCCTACAGTTTTAATTAGTTTAACCTTCTTAAATATTTATTGCATTAAAATTGTCTTATTTAAGCTTATCTTAATCCACTGCCTAGAAGAAATCGGCGCTATTTCAATACTTATAATACAATTTATATATATATATATATATATATATATATATATATATATATATATATATATATATATATATATATATATATATATATATATATATATATATATATATATATATATATATATATATATATATATATATATATATATATTCTCACGTATTGATTCACGGATGGAAAAATGTGATGACACTATATTCCGGGATATCATCCGTTCGCTCGTTGAACTCCGACTGGAATCCTGCATCCGACTGGAATCCTGCAAATCTTGCATCCGACTGGAATCCTGCAGTGTTCGAAGTGTTTTCGGAGCGCGAGCATTGAAGATGCCAAGTGAGATTTTGGCGAAACGTCTGCAGGATTCCAGTCGGATGCAAGATTTGCAGGATTCCAGTCGGATGCAGGATTCCAGTCGGAGTTCAACGAGCGAACGGATGATATCCCGGAATATAGTGTCATCACATTTTTCCATCCGTGAATCAATACGTGAGGATATATATATATATATATATATATATATATATATATATATATATATATATATATATATATATATATATATATATATATATATATATATATATATATATATATATATATATATATATATATATATATATATATCAAATTGATAGAAACAGTTTAACGGAAATTATTTTATTATTTTAAGTAACATTTTGTTATATGCAGAGGGTGTGCCAGTAAGGGCAACAAGGTACGATATTAGGGAAACGCACGTTGAAAAAAATATTTAAAACTCCGCACTCCAATAACTCCAAAACGAAAAGAAATATTTAATTTATGTAAAAAGTAGTCAAAGTGTGGGGTCAAGTAGATATTTCCTAAAGTTTAAAAAATTCGACGCCTGCAAAGAGCTGGGCGCCGCGACGCGTCGAAAAATTATTCGATTGCAGAGACTTTGGAAATACGCGCATACAAAAGTACATATTATTTAAAAAAAAAATTGTTATTTACTCAAACTTATTTACTTTACCCGTTTCTAAGTTATACCGATTTAAAGTAAACATTTCTTGATTAATAAAAAAATGTGATTAACGCTTATTTTTACAAGTATGCCATGAATGTTAGTTACTATGGCAACCATTGTTATCGCAGTTGTTTTAAGTGCAATTACAAACAATAGATTTCAACTATTTTGGTATGATTTTATTTATTATTTTTTATGGATTTAGTTCTGATAACATGATAAATAAATAAAAAAACAGTAAAATACCTACAAGTTAATAACCAAAATTATTATTGCAATTAACTACATAATAAGACATTTCAAAAATTTTGTTCAATATTATGTCCATCTGCTCGAACGCAACTATCAAAAACTTTTAACAGATGAGCTTGAGTGACTTGTAGGAGAGTCCTTCTTGTGATACCGGCACACGCTGCACTAATTTTGTTAATGAGATCAGCCATTTCTTCGATAGGTTCTTCATAGATAACGTTTTTTAGGTAGCCCCAAAGAAAATAATCTGGTGGTGTAATGTCCGGGGACCTCGCCGGCCACCTTACCGGTCCATTAGTACCAAACCATCTATTGGGATATTCTCGGTTCAAATACCTCGTTACTATTTGGGCATTATGTGCAAGCGCTCCATCCTGCTGTAGCCACATATTCATTCTAGTGTCAAGAGGCACTTCTTCTAATAGTTCCGGAAGTGTAGTTTGAAGAAATCTTAAATAGCGATCTGCATTTAAAGTTCCTTCGTAAAAGTAAGATCCAATAAGGAATCCATTTAATATGCCGCACATACATATTGATACTAAAAATTCGTTGGTTACCTCTTTCCGTAATCCAACGAGGATGGTTTTCGGACCAAAAACGACAGTTGTGTCTATTAACGATTCCATTATTTTGAAATCGACTTTCGTCGCTCCATAAAATTTTCGAGAGAAAATTTGCATCTTGGCTATACAAATCGGACAATGTCGCTAAGAAATACATTCTTCTAGCATAATCGCCTGGTTCTAGTTTATGAACTAGTTTACTTTTGTACGGGTGAAAAGAGTTTCTATGTAGAATTCTCCACGAAGAACTTATGATAACACCGGTATTTTCTTTTATCTCTGATAGGGATATCTTGGGGTTATTATCAACCTGCTGAATTACAGCAGCAGTATTTTCATCATTTGTAGCCATCCTGTTCCTATCTCTTTTAGGTTTTATGAAGCTGCCATATTCTCTTAAGTTTTTACATAAACTTGAAAAGGTTTTTGCATCGGGGACTCTTCTATGCGGATAACGCCGTGCGTAAACTCTTTTTGCTTCTCTACAATTGCATCTGCATTCTCCAAACACCAATAACATGTCTACTTTTTCCTCATTGCTAAATTGCACCATTTTCACATAATAATTTTTAGTTTTTTTTAAACCCAACAAATTTGGATATTTCTTGTGACAAAATGTGACAATTTTTTGATACAGGAATAACAACTTACGTTTGTAATTGCACTTAAAACAACTGCGATAACAATGGTTGCCATAGTAACTAACATTCATGGCATACTTGTAAAAATAAGCGTTAATCACATTTTTTATTAATCAAGAAATGTATAACTTAGAAGCGGGTAAAGTAAATAAGTTTGAGTAAATAACAAAAAAGTTTTTAAATAATATGTACTTTTGTATGCGCGTATTTCCAAAGTCACTGCAATCGAATAAATTTTCGAACTTTAGGAAATATCTACTTGACCCCACACTTTGACTACTTTTTACATAAATTAAATATTTCTTTTCGTTTTGGACTTATTGGCGTGCGGAGTTTTAAGTGAAAAACCCTTTATATATATGTATATATATATATATATATATATATATATATATATATATATATATATATATATATATATATATATATATATATATATATACAGTGTTCGAAGTGTTTTCGGAGCGCGAGCATTGAAGATGCCAAGTGAGATTTTGGCGAAACGTCTGCAGGATTCCAGTCGGAGTTCAACAAGCGAACGGATGATATCCTATATATCGTACCGTGTTGCCCTTACTGGCACACCCTGCATATAACAAAATGTTTCTTAAAACAATAAAATAATTTCCGTTAAACTGTTTCTATCAATTAAAACTTGGTTACGTTGGTATCGATTAGTTCTGTTCTTCTTTTTCTAACGGTCCCATCCGAAAATCCGGCTTAATTTATTTACGTCGAGATTTCAATTTCCGAGTAAAAACTGAACCTCTTTTGTTGATTACTTTCAGATATCCCAAAAATAAACGAGGTATATACGAAGCTTTAAAAATTACTAAATCTCCGTGTATTCAGACATGTTCGTTGATTTCGGGGGTGCCGTTCCGATTCAAAGTTTTAAAAATCAATACGTAACACGCGCTTTAAATAAACACACCGAAAATGTTTTGCTAAACAGAAAATTCCGCGTTTTTGTTTCAATTAGTTCAGTTTTTAACTAAAGCCGACGTTATTCTGGGCTGCCGAATGAAACCTGAACTATCTATATACAACGGATGTTGAGGAAAGTTCTTAAAGAAAGCGTACGCTACATCTGCAGAAAGTCGCACAACCCGGAATAGAAAATTGGTGAATGCACAAAACTTAAACCCTAAGCGTTTACTTCTCATGAAGTTCCATTCCAAACCAAACTAAAATTTATTATTGCATAATAATAAGCGATCGCGGTAGATAACAACTAGACGAAGGCAGGCACCTTGAAAATATAGAAAAAAATACACAAAATGCAGTTTTAATTTTTTAAGGTAAAATTTCACAAATTCATAATTATCAAATCATAAAATTATTAGCGATTCAAAACGTTTGAAGAAAGTGTAGTGTGATATTAATCAATACGCAAGTGTAAGGATAGGTAGAATAGAATAGAATAGAACACAATGTTACACGTGATGCGCTCACACGAGCATCATCAGATCTATAAAGGAGATTTTCAAAAAAGAGACCGAATCAGTTTGATTTAACCGAGATCCATAAAACGAAGAAAAAAATGTAATTTAGAAATATATAAACTCATAACAAAGCCGTAAAGTGGGCGGCAGAACCTGCAGTTTTTCTCGAAATTAAAAACGTCATTAATGCAAACGATGATAGGACTCGTTTTGGCTTTTGTGATTTCTAATTTATCCAGAAGATTAAATTTTTACTCTTTACTTATGCCCCGTCCTTAACTTTTATTACCTTTGAACAACTTAGCCTGGTGTAATGAAATATTACCGAAGAAGGTCAAGCAATGGAATCTATGTTCTGAAGGTTTTGATTTTATTATGTTTATTCTAGCGATCTGAGCTTTGGGGTGTGTTTGAATCTTTATACTTTTGTGAAACCACTTCCCTTGAAAGATCCACAATTTATTTGATTTTAAAATATGAAGAGGGCGGAAAAACAAATGCCCCGAAACGAACTTTTCAATAAATATTAAAATATAAATATTAAAGCTGTT